CAAAGTTAAATATGAAACGTGAAGGGCATTTTCTTCAGTCTTTCCTCGGTGCAGATTGATCTTATGATTGGATATTCAAGACGTCTTGTCTTCACAGAGAAAAATAAAAGGAAGACCGAGTTCTTCAGAGAGGAGGATGAATTCAAGGGCCCTTCTTTGCATCTGTAAAGGAGCGTCCCATTGTTCAGTCCAACTCTGCAGAAAGCTGCAGACTTAATAAAATGTCACGCCCGTGCTTCACCTGAGGCTTTTTCCTGAGGGTTTCAAGGTGAATGGAAGCCACAACCACTAGTCCTTTCACTGCCAAATGACTGCGGCCGAGCCCTTTCCTGGATCGGTGAATCTGAAGGGGCCGGCGGTTTCAACCACAAAGTTACTCAGCTTTGCTTTTGGGCTGAAATTTACATCCAGGAACCCGGAGCACATCCTTTATGGAGACGTGTAAGAAAGGGCAGGCTGGTCGAAGGGGGGGAAGTCAAGATCAACATTTAAATGGGCGGCTTTGTTAATTGATCTGTGAGGTATTCAAATGACGGAGCGCTTTGAATGACTTACAAGGTCGTTCAAGTGTCATCGGCCACAGATGGACTGATGCTGCACCGAGGGAAATACAGAGCTTTGAAACACAGAAATCAGAAATCCAGTGAGATACATCTGAGCTAGGCTTCACATTATTTATAAAAGTGGTCTCAAAGTTACTATTAACAAGGTGCACACCTCATTTTTCCAACAAATTGTCCAGGATTATTGCACAAATATTATTTATTTTTTAGTAAGTAAATTCCCCCGTTGTGGGATGAATAAAGTATATCTAATCTAATTTTCCTCAGCATGTGTTGAAGCATATTTGTTTTCTTCCTGAAGGTGAACATGAGTAAGACGGAGACATTCAAAATATTTATTTTCATGCGTGATTTAAGAAAAACATGAATCTAACAAGGATTGAAGATAAAAAATTTGAATGTTCATCGCCATATTTCAGTCCTGAGCATGTTCTGTGTTTGATATTTATCTCAGTTTATTTTTCTAACATACACTCCATGCAAATGCAGCTGAACTGAGCAGAAGATGAACTGGACAGAAAAGCACATTACCTGAGTTTGAACAATCAAATGTGCAGTGAAAACAGCTTTATCTTTTCATACTGAAAACAAAACAAAGCCTATGATATCACAAAGATGCAAATGGATGCTTGACTGAACCTGTGTGTGATTTGCATGCCGGGCCTTTGAAAGTGCACAGCGCTGTGATCAGACTAAGTTAGTTAGTGTATGTAAATGTGGCCTGGCCCCTCAATCACTCTGGAGCTGACATGTTTGTTCAGAGCTTCACTGCAGCAGCAGGGGCCAGTTTACTGGGGCCACCGCTGGTCACTGCTGCCATCCTGTGTCCACTCTAAAGACTGCACGGACCGACACACAAGTCACTTCTCCTGTAGGTTTAAAGAAAGACTGTGTCCACACGTCACACATTTATTCAGAATTCATTCGTCTCAACACTATTATAGATAAATCGCAAACGATGATGACACATTACTTCACCGGTACTTTGTGAATGATCACAGATGCAGTTCACTCTTTCCTCCAAATATCAGCTCGGACAACATTTATCACAACATCCAATTATTTCTGTCCCTGTTAAATATGAAACAAATACTGCGTGTGTGTGATATGATGAAGTTTCCCACTGATCACACCATGAAATGTACAGGCAGTATCTGTCATATTCAATTTGACCATTCGATGCAGTACATTGAGTTCATTAAGTATTTACTTGATTCTGGTATATTTGTTTATGAATGAACACAGTGTCTTTCTTGTGTTTTAACTTATTGGAGAAACTGAGCAGTTAAACTGATTCGTGTTTTGTGGCACTCAGATACTTCACCTACAGTAAAAAAGTATTAAAATATTGCATAAGTAGCAAGTAAAAGTCCTGCATTCATAACTCTTTAAAAAGTAAATATGCACAACATGAGTTAAATACATCAAGCGATAAAGCTCATGGTGCTGCAGGAGCTTGTATGTGATTGTGCTCCATCGGTATCCAACTCTCTGCTGTATTTACCTCATGTGCAGCCCCAAACTCTTTAAACACCCTCCAGCAACTGTCTCTTCAGTTCCAAGATCCCCTGAAGATATTCCAGGGAACAAAGAGAAGCCAACAGGGTGTGAAAGGCATGAATTGATTCGTCTGATGATAGGTTGAGATCCTTATCAGCGCCTCAGTGAAATTACCTGGAAAATAGTGTCATCTTGTCCTGTGTTATTCTGAGATGTTATTGAAGATCAAGTTAAAGGTGGGTTTGGATTCTGTCACTCTGCTGCTGCAGCTGACAGCCTGATGAGGGGGGAATAATCCCTTTACCTAAAAAAACAACAGACATCCAGCGCAGGTGGAGGCGAGGACCCTTTAACTTTATTATCTTATATATTATATGTACAAACTAAGCGGAATGGAAACCTCCAGTAAATCACAGGTGAGGATGTTGACAGAGACGACAACAGGATACGACTGCTGGGGACAGAGAATCAAACATGTCGACCATCGTGAGGAAACTCACAAACTCATGTGCTGTTTGTTGAGTGAGGAATGATTTTAATTCACGAGGATCTTTTTAAGTTGTTGTGCTTAATATCGCTCTGTTGTTGCTTCCTTGTTATTTGTGTAACTAACTTTAAACTCATATGATGTGAAGCTCAGAATTGAATCGTATTCGCCCTCTGCTGATACGAGATGAATACTAATTAACACAGCTCATTACAACAATCTGATCAATTATATTTTAAGTGACTTCATTTTGCAGTTTCAGCCAATCCGGCCAATCGCCGCGGCGGTGGGCGGGACTTCCGGTGACACTGACGAATCAGTGATGGCGACAGAGGGAAAGTTGAAGGTGTCAGCAGAACAACATGGAGGAGGAGTGAAGCCGTAGAAACACTCAGAACTCTTCCACCGAACTGAGCAGCAGCAGTGCAGCCAGAAGGTAAAACACCGGATCGTCCGCCGACACGAGTCCCGGTAGCTGTCACACTTTCTGACCGGACGCGGGCTCCGGGGGTCTGCGGGCGGAGCTAGCTAGGCTACGTGCTAAGCTAGCGTTAGCCTTAGCTAGCCGTTAGCCAAGTTCAGCGACGCTCGAGCGACAACAAACCCGTTTGTCAGCCCGTCCCCCCCTCACCCCCGGGGGGGGGGGGGGAGGTGTTCACGACACGCTGGTTCCCTCAAGTCTGACATTAAAGTTGATCTTCAGTCCGCGGGAACGTCGCCGGGCTCAGCTGCTTCACTTCCGGCTGAAAGTTTGGTGTCCGTGCACATCTGTGATGGCCCCCGGGTCGTTTTCTTTGGGGGAAGCCATGATCCAGTCACAGTGGAGCAGTGACAGCAGACAGCGATGCTTCTTCATGTTTCTCCTTATAAACCATTAAACACTTCGTTATTAAATTAAACCAGCTCCTGTAAAGCTGTTAGTTAAATACTGGCTGTTTTTAAACATGACGTTATCCTCTCTGCCGAACGTCTCACAGCAGTGACGCTATAATAACACGATGACGTCATCAGATTGTGTTATATATATATATATATATATATATATATATATATATATATTGTGTACTCATCGACAATCAGCTGATGTTTGCATCCGGTCACCAGTCGTGTGCAGGTCTGACAACATTTGCAGCAAAAACGAAAAGTTGACTGATAATAGAAGATTTTTCCAGTCCACATACAACAATATGCAGTTTTTTATAATAATAGAAAATATTTCTTTCATATAGCACCGTTATAAAATGCAATTACAAGTAAAACAGTTGGTCCCTTCAGTTTGTAGAATTTAGTGGTGAATGTTGCAGCTCACCTCCCCCTCCCCCTTCTAATTATTAAAAAAAACAGTGGTTCTTGGGTAAAGAAACAACATTTTGTACAATTAGGATGAAACACACCAGTGAGAACATTGCTAGGATTAATTTATATTCAATTTATGCTAATAGATCCCTTTCACCTACATCTTACGCACTGGAACTTTAAACAAAGGATGAGGATGAGGCCCCCAGGTGCATGAGATGTGTCAGCAGAATGTGGTTCTGGTTCTGTGGATTGGGTGCATGTTGTCTTTCAGTGCGTTTTATAAAACTAGCCAAAGGTCTGTGTCTTCTGACTTTTCATGTGCAAGGATTCTCTCTGATGGTCGAATAGAAAATGCAGTGATTTGTTGTTACACAAGGTTAATCTATAAATTGACAAAGGGCGTCTGTTTACAAGGGAGACAAACAGTGACTATTTCAAAATATTTGCAGACGTCCCCAGAAAACGTAAACCGAAATGCAACAGTAGTAGAAGCACCTATAAATTATAATTCTGTTGAAGAATATGTAGGAAATATTAAAATCCAATTATGATATTGATAATAAATGTTATCGTGGTTTTGTACTTGTATTGTTTGCGTTGTATTAAAATCATGTCCCTCATTTTATCCACTGTAACTCTCTGGTATCCGTCCAGCAGTTCAGTAGATGTCCACCCCCTCAGACACACCAGGTGGTATGTCCCATCCTGGCCCTTCTCCGGGGGCAGGTCTCTCCCCAGGGCCCATCTTGGGCCCCAGCCCTGGACCGGACCCTTCCCCAGGCTCTGTTCACAGTATGATGGGACCCAGTCCTGGACCTGGAACACCCAATGCCCCCCATGGCATGCAGGGCCAGGGGCAGAGCGATTACTCTCAGGACGGCATGTATCCTATGCACAAGGTAAAGGGCCTATTGCTCCAGTTGCATGATGAGAACCATGAATTCAGATTATAGAAATACCCAAATATATTTTGAAGTCAAGGCCAAAATTGTTTCTTTTTTAATTTATTTTCTAAATATAACTTGGATTTCTAATGTTTTTATATTGTGTTTTATGACAGAATTATTGATTATCACAAAGACAAAACTAAAAAAGAATACTTATATACAATTAGACATAATTTCTTTCCATTTTCAGCCCATGGAAGGGATGAATGACAAGACAATGGCAGACGCGATGCACTTTGGTCACATGAAAGGTGTGGGGATGAGATCTCTGCATAGTGGGATGGGGCCTCCACAGAGTCCCATGGACCAGCACAGCCAAGGTCTCGTACTGATTTGTTTGTGAAAGTAAAAGTTGTCGGCTTTCTAAACTGGCTCAGCGGTAACTGAAATGTAATTAGTACTTATAGGCAGTGACTCCAAACCTTTTAGGGTGGTGACTCATTGAAGAAACGCTCCTTCACATGTTGCATATGTCTTCAAAATTCAACCATTATAACTAAATGGTAATTATTCATTCTCACGATCTTATTTTCTTTCTTTTTTTAAACCGCTTTGATTGTGAAATCTCTTGAAATGGGAAGCGACCCACAAGTTGGGACCTGCTGCTTTAAAGGTTCCTGTGTGAATCATGGGTTAAAACTTCTGTCTGTCTTCTATAGGATACATGTCCCCCCATCCATCCCCCATGGGTGTCCATGAGCATGCTTCCAGCCCCATGTCAGGAGGTGGAGGAGGTGGCGGCCCCACGCCGCCCCATATGCCTCCGTCACAGTCCGGCCCCATGATGCCCATGGATCCCCAGGGAAGCATGCCCAGTATGTCCAACATGGGCCAGCAGGGACGAGGACCTTCTGCGTTCAGCCCGGTCCAGCTGCAGCAGCTCAGAGCTCAGATCCTGGCCTACAAGATCCTGGGCCGCGGGCAACCCCTGCCGGAAAACCTCCAACTGGCTGTTCAGGGCAAGAGGAGCCTACCCACAATGCAGCAGCAGCAGCAGCAACAACAACAACAACAGCAACAACAACAACAACAGCAGCAACAGCAGCAGCCGCCACCACAGAGTGCGAGTCCATACAACAGACCTCCAGGTAGGGACGTACGGTTTAACTGGTTATTGAGACAATGGGATTTTCTTAATTATGAGCAAGACAATCATTCCTGATGAACAGATCTGAACACACTTATTTCTATACATTTCTGTTTGTGATGCTAATATTTAGAAATGGGATATCACACAACAAGTGTTGGATTTAGTGTTGGATTTTTGTATGTTAACATATTTATTACTATGAAAGGGACAAGTGTCTTCTGTTAGTATGTCTTGTGAGATCGATTTCTGTATCATCCGAATTAAGATTAATATAATTATTAGATTAGAATAAATCCAGAAGTAAAAATGAACATAATTTTTGGAGGGGACGAAAACTGTCACATGGGAATTTACTGTTATAGATTGTTTTGCATAAATTAATAATATTTTAGAGCTGTTGCAACAACATGGACTTATCAGTATCATTAATTCATTGTTTAAGTCCAAGACCTTAACCTTTTTTAATATAAAACTTTTATCTTGTTGAAAGGAATGGCTATGGCACCTTTAGGTGGACCCCAGTTGAGTCCCTGTCCAACCCCGATCATGCAGGGACACAATCAGAGCATAGGACCCAAGCCTTGGTCTGATGGTGAGTACAGTATGAGGCTGCGTTCACACTGATGTGATTTCATTTTAAAACAAACAAATGTCTACACAAGCATTTTAACTCTGTACCAGAAATAATATCTGTCCTCTGAACCGGAACCATACACAGGACGACACGACGTGTGTATGTCTGTCAACATTCTTTAGAAACTAAAACTAACCAGATCAAATGGAAACAATGGAACAAACACATGAAGCTTGATTCAAACTTTCAGTGTAAAAAACGCTGTCAGAGAAGTCGTGGTTTAGATGAAGGTGTAGTGTCAGTGTTATGTTCTGGATCCAGGCCTGTGAGGGGGAAGGCCAGTCATGTGCAGCTGTCTGATGCTTGGTCTTAAAAGATGAAGTGCTGGTATTGGTTTAATGGAACAGATGAAACCCTGGTTTGTATTCCGTGTTCGTCTCTTGTCAACCTGCCCCACTAAGAGTTGACCCAGCATCCGACACTGTCTGTGGTCTCCAGGTCCGGGTGGTGAAAATCAAGCCAATGCTCAGAAGCACCTAACCCCTGCTTCCAGTGGACGCCCGTCCCCGGCACTACCTCAGGCGGTTGCTGTGCCGGCTGGACCCCTGCCAGGCGGTTCAGTGACCCCTCAGCCTCCCGGGCAGCAGGTGTCCCCCATGCTCCAGATGCAGCAGAAGCAGAACCGAGTAACGCCGATCCAGAAGCCCCAAGGTTTGGACCCAGTGGGAATCCTTCAGGAGAGAGAGTACAGGTATTCATCACCCACTGCCTTTCCCCACTGTCTTTGAGGTGATTTAAACATTTGAGATCCATCATTTGATTTTATTATCCTGTTTTAAAATATTCAGCAGTAATTTAAAAGAAGATATTAATTGATTTCATATCTTTAGATTGTTTTAATTATAATAACAGCAGATGTTAATTTAAATTCAACCAACATTTTTTTAATTGTATTTTGTTATGTGATCTTTTCTGCAGTGCTTATTCTGTAATATGAAAACATTTCATTTCATAGCATATTGGTAAACACACACACACAGAGAGAGAGAGAGAGAGAGAGAGATGGGTGTTAAACCTCTTTGGTGCAGTCGATTGAGCTCAACATTTATTTTCTTCAGATTTGACCTGTGACAGAGGTGTTGTGAGTTTTTACAGAAAACGTGTCAGAAACTTAAAGATTTTCTGTAGAATTTGAAAAGGGCTCAACTTACTCGTCTTACCGGTGCTCGTGAAAAAAAGAAACGCAGACTAAAGGTTTGTTTTTCTTCATGAGACTTCGAGGCTCTTGCTTTGATAGTATCTTCCACTTGGGTTCAGATCAGCCCTGACGTACAGACGAGGTGAAGAAAAAGAAGAGCTGACCTCTCCTCACCTCGTCCGTCCAATTATACCGACTCGGCAAACTGTCAGAGAAAAACAGAACCGTGGGTAGCGCTCAAACATACCTTATCATTTATTGAACACCCGAGACACCGGAGCAGTTGTATCTCAAAACCAATAATATGAGAGTTTTCTTTACGCATCCTTTGGGTTGGTGTGACATACAGTCGTTTCTCTGGACAGACTTTGACAGCTGTATGAAGATGAGTCCTGAAATAAAGACTCACAGTCACAGTCCGTTAAGTGGAAATTAACATTTCACATTTTCTGGGATCAAAGAAAGATCTTCTTTTTTTTTTTTTTTGCAAATGTAAATAAATGATCCTCTGAACTTCTATAATGCTACTGGTTCTAATTTCATATTTTATTGTCCACATTGTAACTAACAATTAGCCAGATAATCAATTCAGTCATTTTGTGTTCACAGCTGTAAAATAAATCTACTGATTCAAATGAAAGCCTGAAACTTGGCTCATAAATCTGTATGACTCTACTTCAAATATTAATATATAAGACCAAACAATCACAAACAAAGAATCAAGCAAACATTTACAAATAATAATTAATTGCAAGTCTAATAATTTCACTGAAATGTACTTCATGTCGTCCTAATGTTCTTCAGGTTGCAGGCTCGGATTGCTCATCGGATTCAGGAGCTGGAGAGTCTGCCGGGCTCGCTGCCTCCTGACCTGAGGACTAAAGCCACAGTGGAGCTCAAAGCTCTGCGCCTGCTCAACTTTCAGCGGCAGGTACACAACCGTGTCTCGTGTGTAAATGTAAAACCAAACATACACAGTGCGTCAACACTCCACACTGAACTCATGTCATGTTATTTTAACTTGGGAATTCAAAATGTTATAGAATAGAATAATGCAGATAAAAGAAATTAGTAATTTGATTTGTGTGGATTATCAGTCCCTACAGACTGTTTTCCTGAAATTCATGTCAATGACGTATAACAAATGTTTTAAGGGAAGTAATGAAACGTTTCATGCCATGAGGAAAGTTAACTTTACATTCTTAAGTTTCAACACTGTGAGCAAACATCTTCTGATGTGTTTTTATATCTCCAGCTGAGGCAGGATGTGGTGGCGTGCATGAGGCGAGACACGACCCTGGAGACCGCCCTCAACTCGAAGGCCTACAGACGCAGCAAGCGGCAGACGCTGAGGGAGGCCCGCATGACAGAGAAGCTGGAGAAGCAGCAGAAGCTGGAGCAGGAAAAGAAGCGCAGGCAGAAACATCAGGTGATCGGCACAAGGGCGTCTGTACTATAATTCAGAAAAGAGCAGTGTCAGGGCTGATGTCAGGGTTTAGAATCAAAATGGTCCAGTGTGGTCTTGTGATTGAACCACGACAGCAGCAGGACTGTTTTTTAAACACGCTACGTTGCACAAATTTGAAAATGAAAGCCTTTAGAAGCAAGTGCTTTCAAAACAAATTCGATTTTGACACAAAATACGGATGTCATCACTTAAGACGAAGAAGAGAAAACTATTTCTTGTCAAGGGCGTCCGCACATCCATCAATCCATCCGTTCAAAAACAAGGCATCAGTCAGTGCCTGTACTTTGACATGTTCCATCTAAAGTGGAAGACAAAGTGAAGTCTGGTAATACAGCACTTAATTGTATTAGATAATGATTTTATTGATGATGTTTGGACATTTGTATGACGTTATATGATATATCCAGGGAAGGAGGGGTATATGATCCAGCTGATTTTTTTAAATACTTCAACAACTTGTACGTCTCGTCTTCTCAGGAGTATCTCAACAGTATCCTTCAGCATGCCAAGGACTTCAAAGAGTATCACCGCTCTGTGTCCGGTAAAGTCCAGAAACTCACCAGGGCCATCGCCAACTGGCACACCAACACCGAGCGGGAACAGAAGAAGGAGACTGAGAGAATCGAGAAGGAGAGGATGAGGAGACTTATGGTAAGAACCCGGAAAAACAAAAACAAACATGTCATCATCACTGTTAGAGGATGGTGCTGGAAGATTTACACTTTTTCATGGCCGTCACTGCTTATGAATAAAGATTTCAGACAAAACAGAAATCAGTATTTAGTCCCCAGCTTCACTGAACACATAAAGGCCTGTTACAGCGGTGCGTGACCGCCGCGTGATTTTTACGATTATTGTCTTTAAGAGTCTCTGCTCAACCTCCTGTCACCATCTCCCTCTCAGGCAGAGGATGAGGAAGGCTACAGAAAACTCATCGACCAGAAGAAAGACAAGCGTCTGGCCTACTTGCTGCAGCAGACAGATGAATACGTGGCCAACCTCACCACGCTGGTGTACGAACACAAAGCTGCCCAGGCTGCCAAGGAGAAGAAGAGGAAGAAGAAGAAAAAGAAGGTAGGAAGGGAAATACACTAACGTTTGTCTTAGACTTGGTTTAAACAAAATATTCTCAGGCACCTTATTAGAGGGATGTTTCAGCTAATCTCACGGTTCGTTATTATTTCAAGCATTTTCCACAATGACAATGAGATGAAACTCAAAGAGACACGAGCTCAGAATCCACGGTACCTCACACAATTTCATACACACACCTCTGTGAGAGCGGCTGAGCTAATCAGCGAAGTCATCTGGTGTCGTCACAGAACACCTGCTGAATCTAAAACATCCGCTACGCTGGGCCTCACGTCCCTGACGCTGACGTTAGTCAGCTCTGCCACATGCTCTGCAATCTCACTTAACTGTGTGTAATGATGAATCTGGAAATAGCATCTGAGTCTCAACATTGAAGGTAAACACAGAGTCATTTAGATAATTAGATAATAATCCTGTTGGAGAGTTTTTCCTCACTGACCACTGCGCAAAGGAGGAATGGATCAAAACTGTGTTATTAAAAGCACCCAGACCCATTACAGAGCCTCTGAGGCACTGGTGTAATCTGTACTTTAAAATAACATGTTGTGATATTATAACAGCACTTAGAGTGTGTGTCTGAATGGGTTTATGTGTTTGATGTGTAGAAGGTGGATGGAGATGGTGAAGGCACCAGCGCCATTGGACCGGATGGAGAGGTAAGCTGCTGCAGTGTTTCACTGTGTGCTTGTATGCTCTGGTCTTTTAATATCATATACTTGTTATGAAGCTGACGTGTCTTTATAGGAGCAGCGAGTAGGATTTAGAGGCATCTAGTATTGAGGTTGCACTCTCTGGAGCCGGTCATTGGTTTGTGGCTTTAAACAAGGAGTGTATGAAAAGCAGTGAAAGGGTTTTCCAGTACTGATAAACATTTACATAATTTCCCCGCAAATCTGCAGCTCCCCTCGGCTTCGCAGAGCTTTACAACAGCCCAGCCCACAACCGTAACAGCCGACGAGCGCAGCAAAAGCTCCAAAAGACTTCTGTCCCCTACTCAGCATCAGAAAGAAAGAGAAGAGACAAACGAGAGGCCAGCTGCTGAATAAAGAGAAGCGTTTAGAGCCAGATGTTGTTGAAACACAAAACTGTGATGAAGTAGAGACACAAACATTTTGCTGCTTCATAATTAATAATGTCCATCAAATCAAATGAAGTGATAATTTATCGTTGCTTTGTTTTCACTCCACCCAAATTACTTTTTGCATGTTTAAAGTGCAACGCTCTGTCACGTCACATTGGACAAACGTTAATTCTTCTCTCAGACGTAACAGGGCCCCGGCTGATCGCAAAACTGAAGCAAATCAAACAAGATTGTAAATAATGTTACAAAACCAAACAGAAATCTACTGTCTCCTTCTCCAGTCAGAAGCCTTCAAGGCCAATTTGGGTAGAAACAAAAATGAGTGCTTGTTGATGTTTAAAAGAATCTTCAGAAGTCCCAAACAGTGGATTCTAATGAAGAGGGAGATGATCGGTTCAGAACTGGGATTTATTATCCGTCGTTTCATTTCTTGTAACTTGGATCAGTGAAGCAAAGACGAAACTCAAATTAATGTCAGGAATTATCTACACGGTTTATTTTCTGTTTCATTAGATGGGTCCGACTATAGGGATACGCCCACTTGTGCATTCACAGACATTCTCATCTAGAGCAGCTTGGTTACACAAGTAATTGATTTGCCGTCTTTATGATGTAATTTATGGGGAAAATCTGAACTGCTTCTTAATACAGTTTATGTCAATTTGCATTAATGCAATGTGCAGCCATGACAACAGGGAAATAGTCTGTATTCACTCAGGTATTGAGGTTCGGGTTTATTAATGTTTCTCCCTGTGCTGTTTGCTGTGCAGCCCATGGACGAGAGCAGCCAGATGAGCGAGCTGCCAGTCAAGGTGATTCAGACAGAGACAGGGAAAGTCTTGCAGGGAACGGACGCTCCCAAATCCAGCCAGCTGGAGGCCTGGCTCGAGATGAATCCTGGGTGAGGAGGCTGTTAATTGCACAGTTGGCTCATGATGTTATTGTGTGTCTTTTACTGCCAGTGGTGCTTTTCTCCCTTCATTCGTGGCTATCCAGGGTTTCCCAAAAGAATGAATTCAGTCTGTGGCTGTCGCCCAGGTGCACATGCAGAGAACACTTTATGAAGGTTACTGGGCAAATTAAATTAAACTGCATATTAACACAAATGCCTTGAAATATAAGTTGCTGCGTTTGCACTGTTGCAAACCACCTGCTGCTTTCTTTCCCCCGGTAATACAGGGAACTCAGATTAAGAAGCGACTCCTGAGCACTGCCAAAAGTTTCAGTTCATGAATTTGCACCCAAAGCTGAAACTTTGACAGTGGCTACACTTTCAGTTATTGCTGCTGTTTGCTTTTAGATGATGTCGGATCTGTTAAGGTTGGATGAGGATTCAATCTTCAAAATGTTATAAAATCCCACCCGTGATTTTGATGGGGACCACTGCTGGATAACTGATAATGAAGAGGAACACGAACAGAAATTATAATAAGCCTATTATAAAGACTTTGTACTTGTCTTATTTCCCTCTCCCGAACACCAGGTATGAAGTCGCCCCGCGGTCAGACAGCGAGGAGAGCGGGTCTGAGTTTGAGGAGGAGGTCAGTGACTTTCTTATTACTGAATTCCAACAGTGGAGGATGTGAGGTCATGCTCCCTCGCCTCCAACTCTTCAAATATGATTAAATGGGATTCAGAGTCTGAGAGTCAGATTAACTCTACATGCAGATGCACACATCAAAAACCACCAGGGGGCTGTAGCTGTACGCACCTCAGGGATGTTACGTCTGATGATTGAGTTTTATCCCCATCAGATCTTCTGTGACCTCTCTGTTATGATTGTATTAAGTATGCACTCACTCATGTATTATCAACTTTGTCTTCATTAGGAGGAAGAGGATGTGGCCAAGGCAGAAACAGAGGAGCAGAAGATAATCGATCCCAATGGAAACGTAGTGACTGTGAAGGCTGCTAAGCACATCATTGAGTATGGACTTCCTTTCTACTTTCTCTTTTTACCTTAATTAAATTAGAGGGAATAAAAGAATTGATGTATCATCCAACTCTTGTCTTTAAGATAAGTGTATTTCGATGTATTCAGTTGATAAACCTCTGCTCGAAACCTCTCTCAACAAAGAAACAACCAAGGCGGTTACGCAAAGAAAGATAAAAACATAGATATAAAATGATGAAATTCCAAGAGAGATGAGAAAAAGACTAAACCATATTCTTTATAATGCTCGAAAAGAGGATTAGGTGAAATCAGAGGTAAAAAGCAGGTGTTTGTTAAACAGGTTATTCAAAGTTATTCAAAACTGCCTCTGTAGAAGTTCAGCTGCAGGAGGTTTAACATTTAATTATCATTGATGCAGGCGTACAACAACACGATAAGGTTGTTTTGGTTCTCTGCCACTGCTGCAGATTTACCAGAATATTTATTCTCTGGTGAGATATTAGCAACCAACAATAGATGTAATGTAGAACGACAGTTCCAGAAGAAGCACACTGGGTTTTATTGAAGCATGAAAAGAACGAGAGTGTTTTGAAAACCGCTGAGGAAGCAGAGGTGAGACAATTTAGTTTGTCAACTATATATTTATATATATATATATATTTATATATATATATATATAATGCTTAAGAAGAATAAATAACCTCCCGCAGTTTCAAGGCTCGTTTATGTTAAAGTGTTTTTGTGGCTCCAGACAGATTTTTTTCTCACTGGCAAATAAAAAAGCTCTTTAGATGTTAAAGTTAGCCGACCCTCGGTCGAGACTTCACCAGAGGGGGGGCACTTAGTGAGGGGTGCCGGTCGTCTCTAGTCTATCGCTCCCTGCCCCAGACGCAGCGGAGGACTGAACTCGATCGTTAAAATGAGCGCCGTTAAGAGGGCGACAGTGGTTTCACATTTACTCTTTTCTTTTTTTTTTTACCTCGACACTCGTCCAGGTCTGCCAAGCAGGATGTGGATGATGAATACAGTGTTCCCACTGGACAAACCAGCTCCCAGTCTTACTACGGTGTGGCCCATGCTGTCATTGAGAGGGTGGAGAAGCAGTCGTCGCTGCTGATCAACGGGATGCTCAAACACTACCAGGTAAATGCACACGCACTTTAGATTGTATATAAAGATGGACAAAGCGTCTTCACTTCCCTCGATGGCGTCATTTGGAGTCAAAGTCAGTCTCAGCGGTCAATCATGAAGTTTCACTCCATTGTCACATCATATTACACTAATAAAAACCAAAGTTAGTGTGGTCCCTGTCCCATCTGTTAACATGGATGAGACGGGGACCTTTTACTCCTCACCCCACCGTTTGTTGTTAATTTAGATTTTTACTACTATCTTTTAAATTAGTTTCCAGTTGGATGTTTATTACCAATCCGCTGAAGGGCCTGTTTAAAACCTCCTTCACCTTTTCATTTTCACTTTTTATTTATTATTGTGAGTTTGGTTTGTGCCGAGATGTTTCCAAGCCCACGGCTCATGAATCGAAAAGATAAGTGGATTCTTTTGTCAAAACTTGGAGGAAGATTTCTGTGAAATGGAGGCTGCATGTGACGCATGACAGTGAGTTCGACAGAACAGAGGTGACTGTAATGGAAAACCTGAAATGAATTTGAATTGGTCTCGTTTCCATTCATGACAGAAAACCCACAGAACGTTTGGCGTTGTCCCTCGGAACCTTCTGCTCGTTCTCCAGTGTCAAACCGGGTCAGAGGGTTCGTGAAGTGTTTCCTTCGCCGGCTGCTCATTCGTTTCGATGATGCATGGAGGGTGTGACCAAACACACTGAACTCTCAATCATCGTAGTGGAGCTTAAAGACATGTCTGTCTGCAGTGTTGTTTTCCAGCATGACGTTATAAAGTCGTCTCTGCTGTAGCAGTGAAAGAGAGATTACCAGAGATAGTGAGCTGGCAGTTGGCCGCTGTTCGCATTTTCTTCCAATCAGGGTTTGGTCCCAGTTCGTCTCTGATTTATTGTGTGCCAGACTTTAAATGAGATACGGTGGCTGAGACAGGGCGGCAGCTCCTTGGGGATAATTGGAGATATTTCAGCTGTACAATAATTGGATCAAGCTTCTGCAGTAACAACAGAAATCTGTGCATCAAACCAGAATTATCAAACTGAAATTTCTGAAGCTCTGGATTTGTTACGGTAAAATTACGAGATTATTTTATTTTTTTTACAACTTTTGCTCACAGCCAGTCTCTTTCTCTCGAATTAGCTCTGACTGCTGTCGGGTGTTTTGTTAACTATGCAGATAATTAATTGGTTGTGTCGCCTTCCCCCCCTCGCTATCTCCCGTTTCCCCGTTCTGTCTTTTGCCGATTGTTATAGCCACAGGCGAGCTCGTGCAGTTGGTCACACAGTTGATATTTTTCCACCATTCATGAATCAGCAGGGATAAGATGCCACAGTGGCTGTAAGATCAATCTCACTATGAACAGCATTACATCGGTTTGTACTGTTACATGTAGAGAAGACTTTGTTAATAGGAGAAAGCAGGTCCTCACATGCACCATGCGTTATTTGATTATGTGCTGTTTTATTTATGCCCTCTGAGCAATAAGAACAGCTTCTGTTTTTCCCCTTTAGGTTTTATTTTTGTCATAATCGCTTTAAAATGCTGTAAACTTTTGTCACTTGAAACCTTAAAATGGCTCATCGCTGTTAAGAGTGTCGGCTTTTGTGTTTGAAGGAAAAAGCAAAGTCCATTAAAGCGTTGAAAGTAACTGAATAGATGACAGACGCGTCGTCTGCAGGCTTTTATTTTCATCTTTGTGTCTGTGTGGGATCTAGGTCCAGGGGCTGGAGTGGATGGTGTCCCTATACAACAACAATCTAAATGGCATCCTGGCTGACGAGATGGGCCTCGGCAAAACCATCCAAACCATCGCCCTCATCACCTACCTGATGGAGCACAAGAGGATCAACGGCCCCTTCCTCATCATCGTTCCTCTCTCGTCAGTACTCCCCTGCACACACGCGGCCATCGTGGCTTTTATCGGTTTCATGACACGTTCAAAATGTTCCTTCAGTAATTAATTTTTGGATGCAGACACACCAACCTCATCAGCCTACATCATATGATAGCGCGGTAATAGAGGATGGGGGGGGGGGTCAGGATATTTTAATATCCAGTTTGTATAAAGTGCCTCAGTAGACGTGAGTGAGCTGTGTACACAATCGTCAGAGAGAAGTTTAAATATCTGCAGTATTGGTCGGAATACAACTTCATCCTGATTATATTATGACAAATCGAAGCCCGGTTACTTAAGATGAGAAATCCTTAAGGGGGAATCCGCTATTTATTCTGGGTCTTTACTGAGTCTGGTCACGTAGAAGAATGACTCCAGCACACCCCTGCTGATCCGAGGGAGGAAATCCTCTGACAGCGTAGTGTGTGTGGACCGAGTGTGTTCGACGCATCACCTGTGGACACGTTACTTCAGTATCGAGCATCGGTAGGTGTCACTCTCAGGGATTGTTCCTCTGCGGACGCAGCGTCTCTGCAGCAGCACCTCATGTTCCTGTTTTTAAAACCGATCTGTTCTCTCAAAAGTACTACGATATTGCGAATAAGTAATTGTCTTCTCCTTCAGCATGATGCACTTTGAAAAACAGTGTCGAGTGTTTGGACCAGTAAAACAGTCTGTGCACAAACTTCAAAGCAAAAAACTTGAAACAAGAATCTTCTATAAATATAAGCAGACGTTTAAATGTTCCAACTCATAGATTTATATTTTCAAGGGTAAATCAAAAGTTGTTTTATCAGCTCTCCTTTGCCGTGAATCTTCTCGATGTTCTGACTTAAATATGCGAACCTCCTCAATCATTCATTCAGCTTAATAAAAAAGAGATTTCCCTCGAGTGTTTTCACACCATTGAACCTTTCAATTTCTCCAAAACACATTCAAGTGCAAACAAGTCCAACTCCTACCTCCCAACTAAGTAGGTTAATGCTCCTGGGTTCTTTTCAGCTTCTACAAACACTCAAGCACCTTTAGTACTCACATATTTTATTTTTGTAGATTTAAGGTGAAGGAAAAGTCTTGTAATTCCCAGTTTCACCTAATTAGTTTTTACTTGGAATTCAGAACTGCGGGTCTTAAAGGATCAGAACAAAGGATGGGTTTGTTTTCTGTAATATCCTTTTTTCCTTTTTGTAGTCAAACAGCACAGCAGAGGCTGATACTTGACTTCATTGCCACTGTATTAAATGTGCTTTCTTTAATGTGGAGCAGAGCCTCATGTTCTCCTCCTTGACGGCAGTTATGTGTTAGAAACTTTAAGTTAATGGGCAGAGAGATTGATCTGAGTTCTGAACAAGCCATAAAAAAAGGTTTCACGTTGTTAGCTGCAGTTCTTTCTACTCTCTGGAAAGCTATTAAAACGTTTTTTCCTTTTGACGTTTATCCAGCAAATGAATGTGTCTGAACCTTTATGATAAACCTGTCAATTAGTGCATGGCCTCTTAATGATCCTCACGTCTTAGGCAAACTCATTAAACCTTTAATTGTGTTAAATTCAAACCACGTTCTCACATGTGACATTTTCTATGATGATTGACATTTTTTTCAGGACTTTGTCTAATTGGGTCTATGAACTTGACAAGTGGGCCCCCTCTGTTGTGAAAATTGCTTACAAGGTAAGAGAAAGAAGTCTCTTTCATTCTAAGTCTCAGATGTGATTGGATTTGACAGAAAGATGTCTTTTGCTTTTTGTCTCTCCGCATGAAAGGGCACCCCTGGTCTGCGCCGCGGGCTCGTACCTCAGCTCCGCAGCGGGAAATTCAACGTCCTGTTGACCACCTATGAATACATCATTAAGGACAAGCAAATACTGGCCAAGGTGAAAGAGATCAGCTCTGTCCCCTCAGTGTAATTCACTCTCCCACCTCATTCTGCACGCTTCACACACTCAGTGTCTCACACACGCTTAATACACACTTTTGAATTCACATGCACTTTTACAGTCACTGGCACTCAGTCAGTGGAGCTTATCCTTTTGCGAAAGCCCAGACAACCCTACACATGATAGTCTTGTTCTCATTGTGGCCTGGGCCCGTTACTTAAGTTGCAATGTAAAAGAAAGTTAAAAAATAAAAGCCTGGATCGGCTCCTTAATTTACATCCACACCACAATTTGATGGATTCTTCTCAGGCCCCATCCATCCAAGATTGGGGGGAATTGGTTCAGTTGTTTTTGCGTAATCCAGCGTGTTGACATGTGAAAATTGAATCTCCTTGGCGGCGGTAAACAGAAGCTACATGACGACATGCAAAAGAGTTTGAAAGTCCCTTTACGTTATTGACTAGGCCCTTTTCAGTTGCTCTACACTTGCTGCTGAATTTAAGGAGGTTTTAATAACAGTTTCCACATAAAACCAGATCCATGATGAGGTCAGAGCCCTCATTCATCGCTCTCAGAGCAGTTTTCCTTCTTATCTCTTGTACTTGATATAGATCTTAATCTCATTCATCGTGGTATTAGAACTTCTGAAACTGAACGTGTTGAAACCTGCAGTCACCCTGAATGAGTCTCGTTCCGCTCACAGATTCGTTGGAAGTACATGATCGTGGACGAGGGTCACCGCATGAAGAACCACCACTGTAAGTTGACCCAGGTGCTGAACACCCACTATGTGGCCCCCCGACGTCTCCTCCTCACCGGTACGCCGCTGCAGAACAAACTCCCCGAGCTGTGGGCCTTGCTCAACTTCCTCCTGCCGACCATCTTTAAGAGCTGCAGCACCTTCGAGCAGTGGTTCAACGCACCGTTCGCCATGACGGGGGAGAGGGTGAGTACGAGCAGGAGCAGCAACATTTGTAGGTGGACGCCGTTTATAATCAGAATCACAGCATCCAAGGCCACACAGACCGAGGCGAACGCTCGTCCAAAGATTCAACTGATTATTTTAGTTCAGAAAAGAAAAAGTCTTTTTTGTATTTAAAGTTTTTTAATAAAAATGAAATCCGCCTGCCACTGCCAGTCTGCCCAGAATGAATTGCAATTTTTACAATTCATTACACTCGGACGAATCTTTTGCTAAACGTGGAGATAATGTGCGTCTTCTGAAAGCTGATAAAAGGTTTCTTCAAATGGATCCCTCTTTAAATCTGTTGGCCCCCGGGGCTTTTCTCCCTTCAAGGGTATTACAGCCGTCAGTCCTAAAGTAAAGTTACAGGGAAGTTATTAAAGTCGAGTAAAGTTAAAATTTACAGTCAGGAAACGAGTGACGAGGCTGAACGTTATGTTTCAAAGGGAACATTTTCTGAAAGTTTAAACCAAGCTCAGTCACAAACTAACATCCTTGTTAGTGAATGAGGATGCTACCATAACAAACCTTGGTCCTAATGTTTTACCACACGTCCTGGTAGCGTTGTCTACTTCCCTCGCTGAAGGTCACAGAAGGTTGCACCGTCCACCCTCAGCTGACGTCTAGCCCGGGGCTGAGGAAACCTGTAAACCCAATTTGTCGAAAAAACATAAAGTGAAATGTTTCCAAAGCCAACAAAGAAAAAAACAAGAGGCAAAAAAAACCCCCACTGCTTCAGCCAGTGGGTCTCCTCACGTTATTCTTTCTAACATTCAACCTGCTGGTTCCAATGAGCCCACACATTTATTTCAGGTTGGGTTCCGACAGCGTGGAAACACACATATTAAATGTTGTATTTACTTAAGCTGGGAAAAGCATAATAATACCAATAATTAATGCAATATATAATTATATATATATATATAATTATATGAATATTATATATAGTTATATAAAAGAATTGAGTTCCAGGACGAACCCGTAGCTCAGGGGTTAAGACACTGATCATGAACTGAACCATCTCTGGTTCTAGAAACTCTGAGCTGCAGCTGCATCATTTGTTTTCGTTGATGTCTTCATGGTCGGCTTGTTTTTGCCTGTTTCCACCACCAACTGTTGATCAGTGTGAAAACAACGGCCACACATACATAATACAGGAGCCCACACAGAAAACATTGCTGCACATTGCTACCAGTGTTCAGCAGCTCTGCAGGGTATCAGCAATCGCACAACAACACAACCGCGCTCAGAAACATCTCACACATTATTCAAAATGTGGCCTCGTAGAAAGAGGCAGATTTAGCAGCAGTTGCACAAGTGGCTGATGAATTCTCTGCGTTGATATTTATTCACTCGTACTTACCCTCAACGCCTTCCGATTCATTCAGGTCGACCTAAACGAGGAGGAGACCATCCTGATTATTCGCCGTTTGCACAAGGTGCTCCGCCCCTTCCTGCTGCGCAGACTGAAGAAGGAGGTGGAGTCTCAGCTGCCAGAGAAGGTGAAATGGAAACCAAGCTTTGTGTATTTTGATTTGACGGAGCACGATAATGTTTGCCGCACAGTTTGAATAAAACCTGTGCTGCTGTGTAGAGGTTACACTGAAAGAAATGTTGAGTGCATCATCTGACCGGACTTTGTGACGACATTCATAAAATCAGGGCTGCAGCTGTAACGCTTTCTTTATTGATTGTTGTTTCCTCAAAATAACCAATTTAAACTGTTACAAAAAATTATAATTCTCCCATTTGAGAATCATTTTATCTCAAAAAATGAATCAAACATTAAAAAATTGTTTATTTGACAAATCGCTGCAGCTCTACTCATAACAAATTTGAAGTTTATTAAATCGGTAATTGGCATCCTATAGTCACATACTTGAGATGTTTTTCTATACAGACGGTAATAATGTAAACAAAACATATTTCTTTATTAATGTATCAAGAATATGACTGAGACCAGAAATGTGTTTTCAGCTCAAACCACCCACAGTTCAAAAGAAGCGACTGTGTCACCAAAGCTGTGTCTTTGTCGTCCTCAGGTTGAGTACGTCATCAAATGCGACATGTCTGCCATACAGAAGGTTCTGTATCGTCACATGCAGAAAGGCATCCTTCTCACGGACGGCTCAGAGAAAGACAAGAAGGTAAATATGCCGAGGCTCCTGTGTCTTCACCGAATGTCAACGCTTCGATTCATCGATGCGTCACGCTGACAAACCGAGCCACGAGGCTGAGAGCTCAGTGAGATTTACAGTTCTCCGCAGTTTGACATCACAAGGTTCCCAAAGTGTGCTGTGTCACTGAAGTCACAGTTTACTGGGGCTCTCAGAAGCAAGTGCTTTGACATGAACAAGACGTGCATATCGTTTATTTTATTAAACTCCCGAAGAGCAACTCGGCTCTCAGCCTCACTTCAGGGCTCTGTGCAGAAGACTGTCAGAAGAGTTTCTGAATCAGCTGCTCAAAATCCTGAAAGTTTTTTCCAGAAGAGATATCAGAGTTTCTCATCGTGAGCGCTGCCGATAGATATTTTTTTTATCACGACGGGTTGAAAGCAGTGTGACTTGTGTGACCTGTGATGAAGAGAATTGTCACTGTCAATGTCCTCCAGGGTAAAGGAGGAGCGAAGACCCTGATGAACACCATCATGCAGCTGAAGAAGATCTGTAACCATCCATACATGTTCCAGCACATTGAGGTGAGAGCTGTTCGACACAGAGCGCTGCTGTCACGAGCAAGTCACTATAACTAGTGACAGTGTTTTTTCTTTACCAGTGATGAACTTACATTTAACGTTTTCTATTCTCCCATAAAATGATTCTTGTGTGAAATCAGAAGACTCATTTTCAGGCCATCATTTCTTCTGTATTGTTCATCGTAGGATTTTGTTCATCAGCAGCCACTTTGAAAAGTGCCAGACATTTTTTTTGTTCTTAGATTTGACCGAGTTATGAATCAGACGTGTATTTTATAGATCAGCTGTTTCAGACTTGAGTATTTCTCCGGGTACGGACGTCTGCATCTGCAGGTTAAGAACTTAAAACCAAACCCGATTGTGAAAACCTCTGGAAAGAGCTCGGTCTCCGGCACAACTACATTTAAATGTAGGACTCTGTTTGCTAATTGTTCCTTATTTCATTTAAAGCAGTAAGTGTTCTCTGTTACAGGAATCCTTTGCAGAGCACTTGGGTTATCCAAATGGCATAATCAGTGGGTAGGTTTAAACATTTCAAACACACACACACACGAGCATTGTCAAGAGCTTGTATGTAAAACCATTTTTCATCTCATATCTGTTTTATTTGATTTTATTTCTGAGCAAAATTCACATTTTCAGAAACAAATGACACCCGGAGGGTTTTTATTTGACACTGAGAGCAGCATTGTTTCCGAGGTTTGCTACTTTCTCCTTGACTTTGTTTGAAGCTCATTTAAACAATGAAGTGATTTAACAAGTTCACATTTTAAGCAGCTGGTGTGTCAGATAATTAAATAAAGTGCATGGCAGCACAAATCAATGATTCATAGCGGCAGTGTATTAATATTTCTGAGCAGCAGCGGACGTTTGCCTCTCTGGTTTAACCACAGGGGGATCTCAAACAGCAGCGGCTTTATAAAAGACCAGAATCAACTAGTAATGAGTGCGTACCTCCGCCAAGGCCCAGCTGCCCCTTTAAATGCTGCACCACATTTGCATATTCATTAACACACAATTCTAAAACCATTGAAGATTCATGTAAACTGTTAATTCTCCCAAATCCACATTATCTCAGCTCCACATTGGAGGTTTGTAGCTTCATTTGTACGACAGCTTAAAGAATCCTACCCCTCTTTGACAGAGAGTACAAACAGTGAAGCTGCTGGCAGCAAACGGAAGGAGGCGATTAAAACAATGAGCTGAGTATTTTCTGTAACTGCCGACATTATGAAACTCAAGAAAGTTCTTAATTAAGTTTTTATTGAAGTAGATTTGTGACATATCAATTTGCTCCCTGTCAGTAACACACACAGCTTTAATCATGGACTTTTCGTGTTGACCCCGTTTTACCAGGATGTTGAAAACTGGATTTTAAAGAGACAATGTAAAGAGGTGGTTTCATCCCTACGCATCATCGTGACTCTGTTTACCACCAGACTTTATCTCAGGACTTTATCTCTCAGGACTTTATCTCTCAGGACTTTATCTCTCAGGACTTTATCTCTCAGGAGTCACTGATCAGACCGGCACGTTCAAACCACATGACACATAAAAACATTTGTTGTCTGGTCATGTAGGAAATATTATGTGTTTATTTCCATCGTCTCCTCTCAGGCCCGATCTGTATCGAGCCTCTGGGAAGTTCGAGCTCCTGGATCGCATCCTGCCGAAACTTCACGCCACCAACCATAGAGTCCTGCTGTTCTGCCAGATGACGACTCTCATGACGATCATGGAGGACTACTTCAGCTACCGCAACTTCCAGTATTTACGTCTCGATGGTAACCTCGCACCTTCAATAATGTTTAAAGATTCAGACTTCTGCTTCATTAGATATATAGTTTATAATTGTACGAGCTGTCTAAACATCTGTGTAGCACCTTCACACACTGTCTGTCTCCTACACCAGAACAAACCTGCCGTTACTAACTCACGTGAGATCTGTGAACACATTAACATTTGATTTGTCCGTCCTGAGCTTGCGATTGAGGGTCGCTGCGTTTCTGTTCTACCACCGACTCCAGCACACGGATGCGATCTCTCATTAGACGATCACATGACGTCCCAATCTCCTTATTAAATCATACAACTTGAAATATATGAATAATATATCATATGGATAAGCACAAGCCACGTTCATCACACACACTCTCACCAAAGGATGATTCCCCATGCGGACGAATTCGAACCGCCAATCTTTTGGTTCGTGGTCGACCCGCTCCATGTGCTGAGCCACAGCCGCCCACATTTACATTTATACCATCCACACGTCAGTTTTATCAGTAAATTAAATCAAGACGTGTCTCTGATCTGCAGCGGTGGCCCTCGTTAGGTGTCATGATTTAATCAGACACATGAAGTGGGTGGTAAATGGTTTCCTCATTCTGAGCCCTGCTCAATTAAAGCCCCTCGATGCCCTTTGAGACATCTCTGAAACCCTGTAATTGGTCAGAGACGCAGCACAGCGAGGGTACATGTGACATTTTAAATTTCCCTCAAACAAGGCGCTCTTTCATCCGAATGACGAGAAGAAGCGAGAGCGGACTTTTCAAAGTTGCCTCAACAAAACTCCACATTTCCAAATATAATCATGTTTGATGTTTCAGGAACCACCAAGTCTGATGATCGAGCGACGCTGCTGAAGAAATTTAATGAGGAAGGATCGCAGTACTTCATCTTCCTGCTCAGCACAAGAGCCGGTGGCCTCGGCCTCAACCTGCAGGCCGCCGACACTGTCATCATCTTTGACAGTGACTGGAATCCCCACCAGGTCTGTCCACCAGCTCACTTTGTTATTCTGCCCTGAGAGGACACTGCTGCTCACAGCGTGAATGCGTGATTGCAGAAAACTTGTTTGGTTGTAGGTTTGGCGGTTTGTGTTACTGGGACACACGAAAAATGAAGATGAGCAGATTTAAAGGGATATTCACTCACGATGTGTGTCCCTTGTGTTGGCTGTCAAATACTGAGGTTTGGTGCTGCCGGTGAAACCGCAGCGAGCGAGCTCCATACAATACATACGTCACGGGCATGTTTGTTCAGGGATGCAAAGGAAGTGAAGAGGGAATGCAAATTGCCGTACGTTATTCATGACCACAGACCGATCACCGCCGCACATTGTGGAGATTCAGGCAGAGTTTGTGGAATCATTGTTGTGGACACATCAAATTGACTCGCTAATGTTTAAAGTTTGGTTTTAATTAGTGATATAAAAATGGGGTGAAACGTGATTGACAGCTGAGACTGACTGGAGATCGGTGGAGCATGTGTGGACCTTGATACCGCGGCTTATGCAAATGATGAATTATGAAGTAACACAAGACAAGACAAGCAGCAATGCAACTGTTTGTTTATTCTCACCTCAGAACCTTATTAAATTATCAGCTTTTCCCCAACTTTAGCATTTGTGTTTCCCGCGGCATCGTCCACCTTGTGTTTCTGACTTTAAATGGCTCCAGTCTGGTGTAACTGTCCTTGGTGCTGCTTTATTTTATCAGTTTTGCAGAAGTAATGTAGTCAAAGTTTTTTATTTTGTCCCTTATTTAGATGAATTATTCACTCAGTGATGTTTTTGTTGAGCTGACAACATGAAGCTATTTAAACTTTCCTTCTCTGGCGAGTTGAATTCACATTTGCAGTTCCAAAAATATCTTCTCAGCGACTGATACTCTGAGATCAGGAACACTTTTGTTTTGTTGTTCTTTCGCTTTCCAGATATGCAGATAAGGTATAAACCGTGGCTGGGCCCGTTGACGTCTCAGTAAATACGCTGCTCGACGGAGAAACTGCACTGATGCAACACTTTGACAGGCTTAGTGAATATCGGCCTCAGAGTCTGAAGATACTTCATTGCGTCATTATTACAATAAGCGCGTGTTGCAATAAAGTCATGAAGACACTGGGATCCAGATGAAAGTTCAGTCTCAGGGGCGCGGATATGTCTGCTAGTCGTCCCTGCGGAAAGTTCCTGCAGTGGGAATGCAGCTTATGTCAAGAAAAACCATGTCAAAGAAAGTAAATTTTATGTGGAACTTTTTGTCAGATATTTTCTCCATCGGGGTTTTGAGTTTATGACTGGTCTGATGCGCAGCAGCACAGAAATGTGCTTGTTTTGTTTAGTTTGTTTTCCGTGTTGCTGCTTGGGAACAGAGTTGTGTTCAGACTTCTTTACATTCAAGTGCAACTTTTACCAGGAGTTGTGGTGGAAAACATTTGATCCGTCGCTTTCGCACCAATCAGAAACGGTCTCACGTTTCTCTCTCTCGTCTGTTAAATCCAGGACCTGCAGGCTCAGGACCGCGCTCACCGCATCGGTCAGCAGAATGAGGTGCGCGTGCTTCGTCTCTGCACCGTCAACAGCGTGGAGGAGAAAATCCTGGCAGCGGCCAAATACAAACTGAACGTGGATCAGAAGGTCATCCAGGCAGGCATGTTTGACCAGAAGTCCTCGAGCCACGAGCGCCGCGTCTTCCTCCAGGCCATTTTAGAGCACGAGGAGCAGAACGAGGTAAAAAATTAGAATAAGCATCTCAACACCAAGAGGTGGTAATGTGTTTGAGCAGGCAGGATTATATAATGAACACAAGAGGCCCTGAATAGATTTTTTTCCCATCTTGTTAAATTATTCCTGCTGGTTTTGATTGAATTACCTCGGGCCCAGAGACAGCTCTGTAGATATGATCAGCCAGCGAACCGCCCATCATTTAGAATATTAAATGGGTTTGTAATGCAATTTCTGTTATTTACATTGGGTCTGATCAAATCTGTGTTTCTGAGCATGAGAACCTCCTGTTTTGCTGCCGAGGCTCAAATCGACGGCGATAAGATCACATTCTGTTATTGATGTTCTCGTGTTCCCTCTGCTTTGTGATGGCAGGAGGAAGATGAGGTGCCTGATGATGAAACGCTGAACCAGATGATCGCCCGCATTGAAGATGAATTTGAGCTCTTTATGGTGAGAAAATGTCCGTGTGAGATATATTGCTATTGACATTTAAATTAGAATCTCTTTAACGAACAGCTGGTTCCTTTCTATACTTAGCCCCTAAAATAATTTGGGTTGTCAATCACATGGAGATCGGTATTCTGGCTCAAACATTAATCTTTGTTCAGGCCCTTTTAGACTTGGCAACACACTGTTCAATTACTAAATTACCATGGATACATGACTCACAGTCACAGAACACACTTGGCAGCTTACGTATATTAAAAACTAAATTTTTGTAATAATTAAAATGGCATTACACAGCCTGAAGCGGCACTACCTCCTTCATGACTATTTAAAAAAAAAAACCTGGATTTAAGTGATCCAGGCCGACTCCTCGGTGATTGAAGTATCCGGCCGCAGGATGTGGTCGGCTTTACCCTACAGTGTCCTAAGTGTTAATGGATTTACTGTTGAGTGAGTATTAAGATGCTTCACGCACACCCTGTAACTGAAGCTCGGCTGAATGTGATTTGCCGTTATCCTTCGAGGTTAAAGCCGGCCCCAGCTGACGATGGGAGTGGGCTGCATGTGAGAATGTAAATGTCTGAGTCAGCTGACCCTAACCCTTTTTTTTCCCCGAGAGCTTTCCTGACGAAAATGTCAACTTGGAGAGACGATAAGGTTTGAGATGTTTCGGTGATAAGAGCCGACGCCGGTGTGGACGAGCTGTAAACAACAACAACACTGATCTTTCCACAGCGCCTCCTGCTGCTCTACGGGCTCCACCCCTCCCCCAAGCGTTCCCCACATGTTCCTGTTGCTGTGAACGAGTCGGAAACACAAACTCCGAAGGCGACGGTGCTAACCACTTAACCACCGTGCCGCCCGTAACAAAATCTTCTCCATCGCACACCTCGTGCTCACCACCTCCCCACTTCTCTACCACCGCGAGTGCAGCGGTTGCACGACAGTTTTAATCTCTTCAGTAGTAAAACAAGGTGACACCGTGTAATGGCTTGTAACTCAGTGAGGCTAGTACCTGTCACTTTACATTACACGTTAATGGAGGAATGTCACATAGTGACCGTGGGGAATATAATTACATCACAACATGGCCTGATTGCTTATTATTCATCCATCTATTGATGCAGTGGTGATTTCTGATGCTGCTTCTCCATAACGTCTCCATTCAGGAACAGTTTGAGTTCACGGGTTACATTTGTGTGATAAAATATAAATATAATATAAAAACAGCATTGTCATCTGCTGCTTGACTCCGTGTGATTTTTCCTGCTCTTCTCCTCCAGCGCTTCGACATGGACCGACGCCGGGAGGACGCCCGCAACCCGAAGCGCAAGCCTCGTCTGATGGAGGAGGACGAGCTGCCGTCTTGGATCATCAAAGACGACGCTGAGGTGGAGCGGCTCACGTACGAAGACAAGGAGGAGAAGTTGTTCGGCCGAGGATCGCGCTGTCGTCAAGATGTGGACTACAGTGACGCGCTGACTGAGAAGCAGTGGCTACGGGTAAAGTCTGAACGCAAAAGAACAGAAATAGAATGTGAACATATTGAAAATATATAACTAACTGCTTTAAAACATCGATTCCTTCAGCTGCAGTCTGCAGTGTTGTCATATATCCTGAAGGTTTAAAACTTCTTTGTGTTCCACACCTGCTACGTCTGTTTAGTCGTTGTTTGATCTTTGTCGTCTTTGCGATCAAATCCATCTCTCGGTGCTCCTTAGCTTCCCGACCACGTTCCAAAGTTTTCTTTAATTCTTCAAAAAATGTCACACGAAACGGGAGTAAACAGAAGATGTGTTATGGTTTCCTTTCACCGCTGGATTAAAGCACATCTGTTTGCATCTGTGCAGCTTTGACAGCAGCAGCTCCGTGTGAGTGAGATGGATTCAAAGCAAACAAATGCTCCTGATAACGAAGGAGAATGTCACAGAGCAGCAGTGATGTGACGATAAAAGAGTTCTGTGGCACAGAGGAACAACGTGTGTCAGAATCAACAAAGTGTTTAATGGGATCACATGTTTGGGGGTTTGGTCTAATTGGATTTGGTGACGATAAGAATATGTAATTTTATGATCATGTAGTGATTTTCATGTGATGGAACTTTGGGAGCTGAATTTGCTTTATATACAAATATCAGCCATTTTATATCAAAACAAAGGCAGTGATTCTTTCGCTGTCATAACTTCATTGTAAATTAAGTAAATAACAGTAACACATGTGCCACCAGGTGACGCCCTTCATACATATCCCACATACCCCAAAATAAAATGAACTAAAACACAAATATATAGAACTTGAACTAAGACAATATACATACTTTTAAGATTTAAACATGAACGCACATCTTCTCTTTATTGTTTATTCTGTGAAATACAAGTTTTAATATCTGCAAACATAAACGAATCGTATCGGCCTGTTTTTTAATTCAGCCACTAAATCGATCACGTTCTAGTCCTAATGAATTTAAATCATTATTATTGCCTCTAATGAAGCTGAATGTTTGAAACATATGAAGAGTTTCAGTTCAACTTATTTCGTCGTGTTAGAGACGAGCTCCTGCTGCTGAACGGTGACGAAATAAATCCTCTTGTGGAAGTTAAATGTTTGTAAACAATGAGAGTATCCAAGGTGTAAAACAACCACCTTGTTTTTATTCACGAAGCAAATTTATGATCCACTGTTGAAAAACAGGTCTCAACCATAATTGGATTCCAGTGTTTGTCTTTGATTCTGTTTCCCTCTGTGATGCTAATAACACCCAGTCAGCCACACCGAATAGACCGTGAGTCATCCAACCCTGGAGAGAGGAGTCGGGCTGGCAGATCCATTTAATGACTGTGGCTCAGGTGTATCTGGGAAAAAAACAGACAGACACTTTGAGCCCAAGGTGACAGTATGTACGAGGTATTAGCTGTGGTTCAGAGCGGCTCTGATTAAAAGAAGAGAAACAAGCGACTTATAGAAAAGAAAAGAAAAAAAAACACAATTTCAAAGTTCTCTATCTCTGTGTGACACCGGCCTCCCTGTCTTTTATTGGGTTCACGAAATAGTCAATACAGCTGGTAGTGGCTCAGTTTGCTGGATCGCAAAATACCCAGAAGTTTTTAATGCAATCGTAGTTAATTCTTAATCATCATTAGGCCGTTTGATGCGACAGAGAGATAGTGGAGCTCTGCTAATTGGAGAAAAGCCTCGCAAAAGAATCGGTCACATCCGACTTCCTGTGATCGGTGGAAAAAGTCCAAACCATCCCAAAAAGTGGTTTCACTCTTCAAACGAACGGAACCACGGTTCAGTTCGATCCAGATCCAGAAGACCTCTTCTGGTCCATTGGTCCGAGGACCGGGGTCCGAGGAAAGTCACCTTGAAGAAACACAAAAAGCAAAATACTGTAAAACAAAAATAGGTCATTTATTCCTGTGTCGCCCCTTGAATTGTGAATCTGATGACAGAAATGCTTTAAGGAAATGAAACGTACATCGTTTCACATTCCAGGCCATCGAGGACGGAAACCTGGAGGAGATGGAGGAGGAGATCCGGCTGAAAAAGCGCAAACGCAAGAGACGACAGGACAAGGACTCGTCGAGCCGAGACGAGGGAAGCAGCAAATCCAAGAAGAGACGTGGACGTCCACCGGCGGAGAAGCTCTCCCCCAATCCCCCCAAACTCACCAAGCAAATGAACACCATCATCGATACGGTCATCAACTACAGAGATGGGTGAGGACATTGATTTATTTTAATGACTTAAGATCAGACTGAACCTTTATCTGTTCAGTCTGTGCGGGAATTTTCTTTTGCCTTTGTCGAGCACCGCTGATTAGGTTCATCGGGGGAAAAAAAAAGATTTAAGGAATGTGTATTGGGCTGTGACGGAGGTCAAAGTGTTTCTCTCTCTCTCTGTCTCTCTATCTCTCTCTAACAGTCAGCCCTCACCAGAATGACACTACGCTGTCGCACACTGTCCTTAAAGGGAATAATAAGAGAAGTTTAAAACACTGTCTGCTCTGTTAAGTCGATCTCCGTCCCCAACGCACCCAGTGCATCTCGATCTCTCCCTGTTTCCAGATGCTCCAGATGCATCCTGTCACCAAAATACCAAGTGCGCTGAAAATAGGTCCTCGTTGTTTTTATTGACGACTAATTGCAAACGTTTCCACCGCAGTGTTTCCTCAGAAAGATATAATAAATATATAATGTACAAACTACTGTGTGACAGTTGTGCAGGTCTAACAGCCAGTGTGAGACAGTTCAGCAGCAGAGTGAAGGTGAGCGTGAGAGACATTGAAGAGTCCAACGTCCTGAGGACAGAAAACTTCCTCTGAACGTCAGTGGAGCAGGACTGAGACATCAAGTCGTCCTCTGCCTGGTGAAGCTGCTGTGATCACTGTTTGTTCGCACGTAGAGCCGTTCAGCTTCTTATCGCTTCTGCCGAGAGACGAGTTGTGTTTTTTTTTTTTAATGTAGCAAACAAACTTTTAAAATTAAAGTCAGATATATTTAAAAAAAACATAAACATCTGAACAAAATTTGGTTCCGTTCTGACAGAGAGACGTCTTCTCTACTGTTGGTAATCAACCGCCTTACACAAGTCACTGCTCCATGAAATGAATTTTACTTTCACAGATAGCTCTTCGTGTTTCCCTTCGTGAGCAGAATCCTGACAGAGGAGCCGTTTGTCTGCCTGCTCATCTCACGCCGTCTCAAAATGTGACTGTGTCGTCTGTTTCTGAATCACATTAGATGTGGTCTTTCTTCTCCTGACGAAGAATCTCACAGTTAGATCATTTGCATCATGAGCCAGAGGTACATTAACTTTGTGTTTCACCAAGTTCGAGTCACAACCGACAAGAGCTCCGAGACCGAATGTAACCGTAGACGTTGATTAATGTGCTGTCAACGTCGCCGTGGCGGCGGCGGAATAGAACTGAACACATTAACGCTGACAGACACAGCAGGCGCCTCTTTTCACAGGTGAAGGTGGTTCATGAGTGTGTGAAGGGAGCCGTGTGTCTGTGTGTGTCTGTGTGTGTGTGTGGAGTTCGTCTGTGTTGAAGTCTGTAGCAAACAGCTCTGCCATGATCATCCAATGGAAAGTACAGATTTCTCCCTGGTCAGCAGAAAAAGAAAACAGACATGAAGTCATGTCTTAGGATTCGTACAGTGAGATAAACATCCTCATATTCTCTCAGTCCAAAAAGTCCTGAATGTGTGTATGAGTGTGTGTGTGTGTGTGTGTGTGTTTTTGTGTGTCTGTCTCTCCTGTGCATGGACGAACATGTGCATTTGTGTTCCCATTACTCAAATATGCATTGGCTGAGCACTCCGCCGAAGCTTTTCCAGGAAACCGCTACCTGCTATTCCAGAAGTCAAATTCTTTCCTCTCCCAGTTGATGGTTATTCTTCCCAGAGCATCTCAATCATCGCTCTGTCGCTCCTCCCACTTAACCGGCGAGAGGAGGATTCCAGGACTCTGGATTCCTCAGCTTTCAAATCTGTTTCCTCATAAAACAAACAACACCTCTTTGGTTTCACTTGAAGCTTCCTGGAATTTAACTATCTCTTATTTCTTAAATGGAGCCAGACAACAGTTGAGGGTCCACGATGAAGCAGACTCAAAGTTTAAAAACACCACACACACCTATACAGTTGTTTTAATGTCAACCCATAGGAATAAACCCTGTAAATTCAAAGTGCTCAGCCTCACATTTTCCCATAATCCCAGTGTCTGTTCCCAGGGGTCCCCTGTTGCATCACAATTTACACATCAAAGCAGGAAGCTCCATTTTGAACATACCATCCAGCTCCTTTGTTGTTTCTGCACAGTTTACACAGTGGATCCGAGCTCGCAGCACGTTCAGGAGTCGGAGGCACCGCAGCGGCAGAGTGTGCGATAACCACGGGATCTAAGATCAGCAGCCTTGAAATCGTCCAGAGCGGCTCTGCGTCTACACGGGGCTTTCGTTAAACTCCGGGCATTTATTATTTGATTTAGTAAGGAGATTGTAAAGTCTCGTGATTTTAGAGGGTATTTACAGTGTGAGACGCAGAATCGACAGAACTTTTTCCTGTTTTTCCTGTTTTTCTCTTCGTGTCACTGAAAAGATTTTCTTTGCTCATCCTCTGTGAACATTGACTGTAAATTACGATAATCAGCATCTGGAAACAACTGGAAAAATGTCAAGTATTTGGTAAAAAAACATAAAGAAAAAAGCTTTGCTGTTGATATTTATGGGATTCACTGTGGGATTTAAATTCAGGGTTTGTTTAAAAATTATTATTGAGATCCGTTTAAGGTTGATAAAATATTTATAGACCGATGGATCGAACATTTCCATCCCTAGATGCTAGTTATTCGCTCTTGATCTCGTTCAGTGATGATTAATGGTTAACAGCAATATCCAAGGTTTGATTCGCAGCCAGCAAACCTGCGTTGCATGTCACACTCCTCCGTCTCTAGACTGTCAGCTCCTTAAAAAAAAGGGGAAATGTCTCAAAATTGTATAATTAAGATTCGAAAAAGTGGGTTTTTAAGCTGCGCACTTCTAAGTGTCACATTCAAAGGGATTTACATAATCTGTTAAAAAAAATATTAAAGAGAAGAAAACAGCCAGAGCATAAAAACAATCAAATTCAAATAAAAGAATCGAAACCTTTCAAGGACATTTAAAAAAAAAAAAAACATAAATGCATGTTGGTTCAGTGTTTAATATTCAGTCAAAGTGCAGGAGATGAGAGTTTTTAACTTGGGTTAAAGGTGCCAGGTAGATAAGTGCTCCATGTTCAGTTTGTCCTCTGGGAACAGTGTGCAGCTCCTGCTCCTGATAACCTGAGAGCCTCATTAGTCAGATGTGTGTTTTGGCTCAGAGCCTTTTACAGATTTACAGACAAGCAGCAGAACCTAAACTCTCTGATCCGCTGGAGCTTTAACTCGATTGCTCATAAGTAAATCACTGCAGATTTAAAAAGTCACACTTGCTCAAACTGCTGAGTGTGAAGCAAACTTCTCATTCAATTTTTTTTTTTTTTTTGCGTAGCTTTTCCAAGCCCAGTCCGTGGTCTGAAGTGTTCTTCCAGTGAGCGGCCTGCTCACGCTACAGCCCTTTTCAGACATGAACTCTGGAAATTGTCTTTATTAAATATTCCAGACATTTTTCCGAGAGTTTGCTTTTCACGTGTGAAGAACAGGAACAAACTGAAGCCTGCAGGCGAGGGGGGGGTTTCTGGGTAGAGCAGCAGGAGGCAGAACATGACGTATTAATTCAGCTGCTGTTTGTGTTTACAGCGTCATCTTTCCAATTTGGCAGTTTCGAAGTCTTCTACATGCGTGGCTTCTTCTGTCGGTGGATTAACTGTCAGCTGAAGAAGCAGTGATCCTTAAATTACCTGCATTTGGCCTGACAGCGTCGTTTAAATATACTCAAACATGAGAGGACATGTCAATATGACAGCGAGACGTCTCACGTACTGTTTCAGAAGAACCTTGAATACTGTGATGAAGGTGTGAAATAATCTCTGCTTCTTTGATTTGAGGCCCTTTACTTGAAATATTCAAAGTGTGAAGACTGTCTCAGTGTATATGTTTCTGAAAAATGAGAAGATAGAGCCACAACAACTCATACATGTTGTGTAGCAGCAGCAGCAGCAGCAGCAGCCTGACCTGATGCTGCTGTCGTGTTTGTGTATTCAACATCCCACTCGTTCGACCTTTGTTCAATCTGAATTATCATTCCAGCTGCCAGGTCTCCCCAGGTCTCTTCCTTTTCCCCTGCACTCAGCAGCTTGTTGTTTACCACTGTAACTTTGAAGCAGCTGACCTGGCCCAAAGCGTTATAGCATGTTTTTTTTAATGCTTCATTTAACTGCGTCATATCTGCAGTGTAGTCGTGTAGTTGTGTAGTTGTGCAGTGATCACTGTGGGTCTGTGGAGCTGTATCTGAAGAAAGCACAGTGTCAATATTTCTTAGTAACTGGGAACATGTCGCCCAGTGCGACAGAGCGGCTCATGGATGTGCTCTTTTTATTTATTGGACAACAACAGAGCTCGAGCTGACATATCAATAAACTAAACCAGACACAACTCATCAGCTGGATACAGTCATAGTTGGTTTTGGTCCTTTAATGGGATTTGTTCATAAATGATGGAACAACATAGAAAATCTCATCCTCAAAGTTTGACCGTCCACAAGGATCCGTGAATTCTTCCTCGGAAATCGAGTTTGCTGGTACATTCAGTAAAGGATCATAAAGGATCTTCGGCAGCCTGCGACGTATTCATCACAAAGCTGCAACATTTTCTCTTAATTGCTTTTCATTGCTTGTTTTTTTTGTTGTTTTTTTTCACTTCAACAAGACGGTGAAATCGAGTCGCTCTCTCCGGTTAAGGCCATTACCTTACATGCGATGCACGACACTGACCTCACCATTCATTGAGACAATGCATCGGCAAAACCATACATTGGGACCATTCAGTCACAACAACCATTCATTGGGACCATTTACTGGAGGCTTCCACTCCTTTGTCTTACTACTAACTGCCTAGAAAAAGATAAGATAATCCTTCACGACTCCCACAGAGAAATCTGCCGTGTCACAACAACGCAGTTCTTCCACTGACGTGCACAGGCTGAAATAGAAAATGCAGAGTAGCTATTGACTGAACTGGAGAATCAACAAAACACTTTGGTAGATAGACGTTTCTGCCATTGGACAGGTTAGAGTATGAATCTAATTCATGATCTAATGTGATTTTGTTGTTGTGTTCAGTTACACGAGGCCTCTGTTGTTTGATTGATGATGAACTTAAAGTTGAATTCCCTTGTGTTTGTTTCCAGGTCAGGACGACAACTGAGCGAGGTCTTTGTCCAGCTTCCGTCCAGGAAGGAGCTCCCAGAATATTACGAGCTGATCAGAAAACCTGTGGACTTCAAAAAGATCAAGGTATGATGAATATGAGCAGTGACATGCTTCTGACGGTCCACTGTCCACTGAAGCCTTGCACAGCCTGACGGGGGCGCTGTTGTTTTTGGTTGTTTTCCTGCTCACAGGAACGTGTGAGAAGTCATAAATACAGAAACATAGGAGACCTGGAGAAGGACGTGATGCTGCTCTGTCACAACGCGCAGACCTTCAACCTGGAGGGATCCCAGGTCAGAATCCCAGCTGCCTGATCTTATTTTCTCTAATTCACTTTGCCTAATTAATCTGTCTTCTTTTTTTTTTTTAATGTGCCGTTTAACCATGTGTGAAGGAGAGCCAGAGGTCTGCAGGTTTCTGGCTCAGACAATTAACCGCTTAATCAGTTCATGGGAAACTATCAACTACTTCTACGACTGAGTAGTCACAGAAAAGTTCAGGTTACTTTACGCGTAACCCTGGTTCTCTGAGTAGCATGATGATGACGTTCCCCTGGGAGCGACGTTGAGGCCTAATGTTGCCGCTGTTGTTCCAAATTGTTCCTCAGTGCAGTTTCACCTCCACTGTTCAGTTGTGTGGAGCAGCAGAGCAGCAGAGCCCTGTTCAGTCAGTCTGGGATCACCTGAGGAACAGCACTCAGCCTAAATCCAGAGAAGAACCTTGAACTACCTCGGAAGTTTACTGCGGAGAATCGATGATGCTGGTTTTAAAGGCAAAGGGAGGCCACGTGGAATATTGATTCAAACCTGGTTTCTCCTTCACAAGTTAGTTGAGTATTGGAGCCTGAGCGATTCTGTTGGTTTGCTGATAAAAGTCGTCAGACAGACGTACTGATGTTTGTTTTCAGATACAAAAACTTTTATTTTTCAGAATATGCAATGAAGAGAAGATTTGCATTAATGTTGTGAAATCCCGTTAGACTTTTTGGGTTTATATATATTTATTAGATTTCAGTATTTGGTCGTATATTATTTAGTTGTTTATTATAGTTTCAACTCTTAAAATGTCAAACATCAAATACATTTCTGCATTTCGCACGTTGTTCCTGAGATCAGAATAATTTCACTCGCTGGCATCGACCCACAATAATCCATCTCGGTCGGGCTCTTATAAAAATGAACCAGTCATGAGAGCATCCTACCGAGTGCCTGAAACATTTGCACAGTTTCCGTGAATCGCAGTCGGCCCGGTTGCTTCTGTCCTGGTCGAAGCCCCTCAGGGAAAGTTCATTACCAGACAAAGACTCACTGGATGGTGGACTCTCACGTTGACCTAATTTACTGCTGGAGTCTCTGGCAGGGTTATTAAAGAATCTCCTTGTCCCTGTTTAAGGGGTCGGACGTCTGTGAGGCTGACTCGTGCTGTCGTGAGCGTGGGCTCCTCGGCGGACTTGAGTCACATACTTATGTGGGTCGCTCAGCGAGATAAGCTTGTCTGACAATACTCAAGTGTCTGTTATCATTTGGTTTATTTACATAACCTTGGTTTTCTGAGGAGCGTGAATGTGATGCGTCAGTCGAATGCGGTGGGTGCCCCAAACGCAGATGTCACGACTTTCGAGCCGTCAGAGCCGGACTGATGAAATGTGTCCAAACGTCTGAGAAGAGGTTGAATCAAAGGTTATTTTAGTTCAGTGAACACACACATTTGTTTTTATCAGTTTGAATCTGCTTCCATCTGGAAATCTGTTCTTCATCATTCATCTTCACCTCAGTTTTTTTTTTTGCTTTGACCTCATCTCACCTCAGCAGCTCGCTCTCCTCCATATTCCCGGTATAATTCATTCCGTTTGAGGAAACGTAACCATCAGCCAGTCTCTTTTTTCTTTTTGCCTGCAGATATACGAAGACTCCATTGTCCTTCAGTCGGTCTTCAAGAGCGCGAGGCAGAAGATTGCCAAGGACGAAGAGAGCGACGACGACAGCGACGAGGACGAGGAGGACGAGGATGAGTCAGAGGCCGAGGGTAAGATGCTCTCTTTGGTGTAAATGCATTTAAAAACACACACACACACACTCACATGTCAGCTCGTTTCAATTCTACGCTGCAAACCCTGTGAATGCAAGATTTACATCGTGCTGCTTTCAAACCGCTCAGAGGGGAAGTTTAAATACAACAATACGATATCTGATCTCATTTTTATTGATATTGAACGCACCTATTTTCAAATCCAAAGTCTTCACCCCCCAGGGCCTCTAACGAGACACGTGTGTCCGTTTGATGAACGGTTCTTGAGATGTGCAGCCCGCACACAGACCGACACTCAATAGAGCGCACACATCCACCAAAGTCTCAAACTCAGTAAATTTCACACGCAGATATCAGTCCCCTGAATATTATTCATTCCTTGAAGACAGAAATATCAAACGCATTGTTAGAGAATGACGCTTCCCCATGGATGAGTTCTTCCTTGGCCGATATCCCAGCGTCCTCTGAGTTTCAACGAAGCGAACGCTGTGGACGGACACAAACGTCGTAAACCTTCTTGCCGGAGGTAGTCAACGTGTCCTCGGAGCCCAGATGTGGGCGGAGACTTAAATGAGTGTAATTAATGTTTTTGTGACTAATAAAAAAAAAGTGACGTAAGAGCTTGTTTGTTCGAACCTTTGCTTTCCTCCCGTGTGTCCATCCAGCCAAGTCTGTGCGGGTTAAGATCAAGCTGAGTAAGGAGGCGCGGAGCTATGACAAAGGCAAGAAGAGGCAGAGCAGAGGGAAGGCCAAGCCGGTGGTCAGCGACGACGACAGCGACGACGACCAGGATGATAATGTAGGTCATTCCACTCCGCAGCATTTCACCTTCACCGTTAGCATCTTCAGCTGAAATTAAACAGCGATCTTCACTCAGAGAACACAAATGCAAGCGAGTGACTTTCAAACAGTCCTTCGTGTGAATGTCAGTGTGAATTCATATGGAAGTTACACTGTCATCAAATCCTGTCATGAGCGTCAGTCACCAGCAGAGAGGAGCAACAGGAAGTGTCTCCCGAGCTCGGTGGAGCCTGTTTCCTCCTCCAATCCTCGGCTGTTTGGTTGTTTGATTTTATAATTGCCGTTAAATGTCTGCAGACACGTTGACTGTGACACAGAAGAGCCCGCGTTCTGGAGACGAGCAGGTTTGGAGCAGAGGAATTCAGACGCAGGTATTTTCTGCAGAAAAGAGTTGGTCTGCGTTTCGTGAGGAAACGTGAGCTGGATGAAGACACAGTTATTGTTTTGGTTGAGAGGGATCAGTGTGTTTAATTAGCCTCATTAATCTGAAAACAGCTCATTGTTATTACTAAATTAATCTATCACGTATAATTTACGATGAAATATTTATTCTTTGGCTCAGTCCAAACAAGGACTTGACGAAGTCACGAGTTACTTTCTTCTTTTCCTCTGAATCGTTCATGTGGGCACCAACCTGACCTTTGGTATTTTGGAGGAAACTGGCTGAAGTCTAAACTTTCAGCTCAGTCAGAAGTTCCTTTTACTTCACACTCATTGAAATCATTACTCAGTAATAACTTCAGCTAATTGTTTTTAACGGGTCATCAAGAGTTTTAAAGAGGAGCCGTTGGAAACCTCTCAGCCTGTAATGATTCTGCTGCTGCTGTTAAAGGCACATGTCTCTGTGCAGAGAGCGGTATTATGGGTAATTGGAGCTTCCAGGGGCTCCTTTGTTGCATGGATTTGAATTTCACCTTCTGAAACACTGACCTGTTGATCAGACTTAATCAGGTCCGTTTGTGTTTCACTCATATCCAGACAGTTCCCTTGTTTGAGTCTCTCTGCCACTCGGACACCAGCGGCCGTGTGAAGGTTCAGCTGGAGGTGAATGTGAGAGCATCTCGTGCAGTCGGTGTATTCTCCTCGTTTCCTTCCTTGAGAGTCGGGTGTCGTGCTGAGTGACGGAGTTTACAGTGGAGATGTGCTCCTGAAGAAAAAAAAACAAATCAGATGTCATGTTCTATTTAAAATCACCGGGGAAATTAGCAACAACTCAAACTGACCGACAGACCTCTGGGTTTCCATTAATGTCGTTCCAGTGTTTTCCAATTACACATTTGAGAGCAGCAGCATTCTCGCCTTTGGCAAGAGTGTGTTCTCCAGGTACTCTCCTCCGAAGCTCAAGTTAATTGAGCTCTGAACTCTGACAGTGTGTAGGTGTGAAGCTGCTTTTAGATCTGCACTGAAGTCGGGAGGTTTTCCTGAATCGTCGGCCGTGTGTGAAAACACAACTTTCTTCTTAATTAATTCTGAATCCTAGTTTAGTTACATCTGCATGAGAGATCTCTGCTTTGGAGAAATTGATTTACTTCGATGTGCATGAAGAATGATCCCATCAGCCTCGTTAACCTGAATAATGAGCCTCAGTGGAGCTGATTCGCAGGATGTTGTGTCGGGACTCTGAAGAACCGAGTCTCCGTTTGAGTTTGTTTGAGAGAGATAATCTCTGAGAGACGTGACGCCGTGTTTGGATCAGACTTCTGAGTAATTCTGTCCCCGCCGGGGAGCTAACGCAGCTCACGGCTGTCTGCAGGAATCGGCCCGACGTGTCGTCCACACACAGATGAATCAGTGTGTTTCTCCATGTGCTCACTGAGCTGGATGTTAGTTTGAAGCGTCCGCTGCTGACGGTCGACACGTCGCCGTGAGAGGAAAGTGTTTATCTTTAAAATACATCTAATGACGAGAGGAAGAAAATATGTTTAAACACGACGACAGATAAAACTGCCAGAGCTTCAACTCTGCTGCAGAGGGTCGGTCAAGTTAAAGAGCAGCTTTCAAAATACTCAGCAGATAAATCCCACCCTCCGCCATCAGCCCTCCCCTTTGAAGCTCCACCCCCGAGGCGCATGAGGTCGCATTAACTGACGAGAAGACGACTTTTCTGTGTCTCGCTCGCTGATGTCCCACAGTCGTCTCCCCTTCAGTTTGTCTCTGGAGGCTTCAGTCATGAGCAGTGAGAAGCAGAGCAGGTCGGCTTCTGCCAAACATCATTTCCATCAGGAGGATTTCAACAAATCGGATCATCGGTTGGATCCAAGACCTTTTTCCCATTTGAGTAACGTCGTCCCGGTCTCCTCCGTGAATCCGTTTAGGACCAAGACAAATACGTTGTGATGTAATTAACCTTCTGAAAATGTTTTCCAGTTTTAGATTTGAACAGAATGTTGTGCTCGATGGAAGATGATCCTGTTTCAATCGATGTCACGTCAAATAACATTCTTTCTTTTATACTGGAACGTTACGACCTCCGTCTCCTGCCTCAGCGTGTTACGTCCAGTGTGAAATGTGGTAACAACTGTGGTTTGTAGAATTCTTTTTAAATTGAGCTTAAATACAA